AAACAAACTTTCTCAGGCCATACGTTCATAGTCTATATTAGCGTGTGTTCTAACTGTAACAAGTATAAAGTAGAAATTCAACAAATGTTCAGTGATATACTGTAGGCTTAAGAAATAATTCAGTCTACATGATTGAGCATATCACATCAAAACTAAATAAAAAATTGTGTACACCTGGTTTTTGTTTGGAATGTTTAAGCCACTTTCAATAGATTTAATTTCTAAATATAATTTCCCCCAGTCATGGATATTTTGACTTCAATCCAACCGAAAATATTCATCAGCAAAGTCACTGGGTAAAACTGTTTTCCCTAAATTGTGGTGTCAACTCACCTGTTACCTTTTAAATTAAAAACTCTATTACATGTGAAATACTGCAGTTTTGAAACGGAAAAGATTCTTCCCTGTTGAGTTGTTACTTAACATTTGTGTTTTTGTGTGTAATTGATTCATGCATGCACTACAATATTGACACAATGCGTACACATAACTACATACGTATAATACCATATACATGTATAACAATATTACATATCATATATACTTATAAGGTCCGACAAGCCCCTGGAATTATGTATGGTAACTATATTACCGTCAAGTATTACTTCTACCAACTGTATCTCGATAGCAACGCTTCCAATTCCATGTCACTACCTATTGCCTGATAAACTCGATTCCATCTTTTAGTATAACAATATAAACAATTGCAATAAAATTCAGCTGAACTAAGACTTTTCAACTAAAATCTCTTCCAAATGGTTAATATTTGGGATTTCCACAACAGTATACAGCAGATTAAAGCAGCTCGATACAATATTTAACAGTAAAATGTATCTACTCTTCTAGATGATCAGACTGTACATATATGATATTTTACTGGCTTATGTTGGTCGACCCAGCAACTACAGTTGGCATCACAGAAAAGTAAGTATAGGCAAAATCAAGAAAACTAGGTATTTCTTTTACTGAGATTTATCGGAACCTGATTTGTATTCTGTGTTGAATAAGAACACAACTTTCTCACTGCACATGCCGAAGTCAATGATACTTAAATGTTGCACTTACATAAAAGCATTTTTTTTTCCGGAAACATCGTGAAATGTTCATCACAAAATTCCACACGTGTTCTTAGAATGCAGGGGTTACAAAGTCCTTTTAATTTTAAGATAAATTAGAAATCTTAGCGAGAATTTTCAGCATCACAAATATATTCTAGGTATTACATCTAGCAACATCAGCTGTTCTAACTATGTAGCTACTGTGTACTGCTCGGCTTGCTATACAGTAATTATATTCCCACTCACTACTCAGCTAAATAGTGCAAGCGATTGTGCTATCAAAAATTACTCGATCGCTCAGAAAGTAATGGTCACAACGTACTTTTATCACAGTTCTCAAACTCGTAGCAATCATCTCCAGTCATGCAAACTTTTGATTTTCATTATAACTTGTAAAATCAGCTGAGATAACTGATAGTAAAATGGTCATCATATGATGAAGTGCATATATCCTTTCATGAAACTCACCTATTAGCTCGGGAAGTAAAGACCACCATTTTCTTTTTTGTAGTTAATCTACTAATCAACCTGCTATTCTAACAACTGTACTTTATGTTGAGTCAAGCTACATCAATCAAGAGGTCATCTTTGACATCTAAGCTATACAACAGAGCTTTCAAGTTGATCACCTATTAGCATTTCTTCATATGACTCTTCTCAGACTGCTAGATTTTTTCTTCCAGTATCTTTCCCTCCTCCTCAGCTTAGTTCAAATGATACAAAATATTAGTATTATCTGGCTTATCAGCGTCAACCTCTGAGTCTTAATTTAGCTAGTGCTTGACGGTTTCATCAGTAA